AGAGCTGCTGTACATAAGGTCGCTATGGGTAGGTAGCAGGAAAATCGACGGCACATAACAAAGAGCAAATATATTTAAGGTCTTTTTATATAATATATATAGATATATAGGTATCATGACACACATATATATATATATAGGCATAGGTCCTATGGAATTGTGCGGCAAACCCAAAAGCCGCGTCTCCAGCGGTTGCAAACTGCCAGCGTACTGTCATCCCTTTATTACTTACAACTAGAAAACCCACGGAAGAGGCTCTGTGAGTCAGAATCAGTTCGCTGGCAGTGAGTTAGAGAGGTACACGTGTGAATGCTTATACATAATTATCCCTGTATGAATTATGTACTTATTCCTCGTTGGAGTTGGGTTTTCCTTTCTGTTCCTTCCGTGGCAGCTCCTCGCCCCCGCTCCCGCTCCCGCTCCCTGAGGCTGCATCGCTGGGCCAGCCAGGCTCTGACTCAAAGACCCAGGCAGATGGTTTTGCCCGGGGCGCGCGCTCACCCAGCTCCGAGCTCAGAGATCAAAGCTGCCAGGCCAGCGGATTCGGATTCGCTGCGCCCTCACTCCTCAGGGCCAGGACGCAAGGACCGAGAAAGCCAGATGCGCTCACCCCGCAGAGCCGGGGCGCAGGGACTGAACCAGACAGGCGCGCCCGTCCCGCGGAGCATTGCGCTGGGATGGAGCCGGCCAGGCGCGCTCAACCCGCTAGCGCTGCGCTAGGATCGAGGTAGCCAAGTGTGTTCACTCGCCCCGGGCTCTTCCCGCGGAGCCGGGGAGCGGAACCCGAGTTGACCAGGCGCGCTCACCCCGCAGAGCCCCGGCGCAGGGACCGAGCTGGCCAGGCTCACTCACCCCGCGAGCACTGAGTCGAGTCGGCCGGCGTGCGAGCACTGAGTCGAGTCGGCCGGGCGTGCTCACCCCGGGCGCTGGGACCCAGCCGCGTGCCCTGCCGAGCGAGCGCAGCGCCGCCGCGAGGCTGCCCTCTGCTGGCCTCTCTTGGCCGCGAGCGGCGTTACCGCCACCTCCGGGTCGCCACCAGAACCCACAAGGCCACTCTGCGTGGCAGTAGGTATCGCACCTTCAACCATGGCGCAAAAACCTCTGACATATCTTAACCCCGGATTTCTGCTCCCTGCCAGCGCCAAAGGTCTTCTGCGTTCCAGAAGAAGAACTGGGAACCTGCTCCACTCAGGAGCCTCCTCTGAGAGACCCACAACCCGCAAGCTCCCGCCGGCTGCAAGGCTGCAAGCAGTGGGCCCACTTTGGCTGCAGTCCCGGCTGAGCTCAGACAACGTGGAGGACTCTCCGGACCCCGGGAGACTGTCCTTCCTCTCTGACGTCCAGCTGCCCTTCACGGTCGCCTTGGCTGCCTTCCGAATAGCTTCCATGTCTTGTCACACCCTTGCCTCATCCTTTCCTCACCTACACCCTTGGGTCTGCCCACTGATGGGTGTCCTGATTTTGACTCTTGTAATAAGATGTAGGAAGTGAGGTGAGGAGACAGCTCTGGGTGGTGAAAACAGGTCTTCCTCAAAAGGTGGGGAGAAACAAATAATTCCTCCTGTGCACAATGAAAGGTGTGTGTTTGTACTTTTACAAGATAACGCATGAAAACGTGCAAAGGAAACAAAAAGTCCTGAGAAATATCCACTGTTAATATTTTGTGACTTTCTTTTTTTATATATTTTTAATAAAAAATAAGTCTGAGTTCCATAATCAATACAATATACTTTTCATACCGTTCACACTTTTCCATCTTACCTTTTAAATTTTTATTTTCATTTTTGAATGAAGGTTTCCAAAGGAAGTTAAATTTTCATTCAACATCCATACAAATTTTGTTCCATAAACATTTCAATATCCACAATATAATGACACTTTCCCCACTGTAATTTTCCCCTGTAATTCTGATTC